GTCCGATGCACGGACCGCAAGAGCAGTCGCTCCGGCACTTGCCGTCTCGACATCGCCACCGTTGATGTGCCTAAAAGGCGACCGGTATATCGTCTCTACTTGCTGTACCCTCTTGGAGTTGCCTGGGTCTCCAAACTTTGCCAATCGCCAAATATTGTATTCGTAACCACTGCCTTTTTGCTTCATCTGAAAATCATCTCAGGAGGGAAAGTCAAGATTCGCAAGTTGGACGTTGTCTCAAAGGTTGGATCAAATTCACGCGTCTTATACTTCGATACGGTGCGGTCTCTGAGTATGAAGTGCTGGATGGATCAGTCCTCCCACAGATTATGAAAGAGGGTAAGGTGTGGAAGTTCGTGACGACAATCTGAACAGATGAGTGGTTCTACAGGCCCCTGAAAACTTCGATGGAGGGCCTTATCCGCCATGATAGCTTTGGCCTTTTTCTGGGTCAGGGCGCCCAGGAACGGGGGCCAAAGGATCTCGAGCGTCGTGGAATCAGCTCGGGAGGTGATGAATAAGGTGCATTATTGGTGATTATACAGATGCGGGGGCTGATTCTTCTGCGAAGCGGTTCCATTCGATACTGAAACAGCACACGGTGTGCCACTTAAGAGTGACAGACACACACCGTGGTACAAGGACTTCCCGGCAGCTGCATGTCCTTGGAGTCCGGATGCCTCAGCAGTGGAGTCCTTACGGAGACAACAGACCAGCACGGACCAACCAGACCATCCACAGCGTGCAAATGGAATTGTAATCATTAAGCCACCCCCGGCCACAAAATCCTCCGCACTGGCCCATTAGGAGTGGGCAGGAGAGTAGCGACCTAGTTAACAAACTACACAAACTAACCAGCCGCCCACAGGCGCAAATACAGCAGCGGACAAGGTCCAATAGCCACCAGGCCAAGACAACCTGCTCCACCCAGAGGAAGTGTCCTTTGATCTTCATATGATCCTTGATCGAGATGGGGAGACCGTGAAGGGGCCCGATGACCTGCCCGGTTTGTTGGAACATTTCATCGAGCTCGCGTAGACGTTGCAGGGTCTGCTCAATGAAAACTTCCGCAAGGCAATTGGTTACTTGTGCGGCGACTGCGGCGTTGCTGTATACAAAGGTCACCTCCACTGCAGAATATTCGCCGCGATAAATGCGGTCCAGGAAAGCTGTGGCATGGAGATGCACGATCTCGACTTCGCGCGGGCTCAGATGCGAAAGAGTGCATGGAAGCACGTCGTCTGGAATTCCGTTGGAGAGGCCCCCAATCTGGGTATTCAAGTTGGGTGAGGATAGCTTCGCGGTTTGCACGCTTTACAGTGTAATTCGGTTGTGTTGGCGAGGCCGGGACTGCCGTTCGTCTGGACATGGAGAGAGGTATCAGAGGGAGTCTGACGCATCACAGGCAGTGGATGGATATCCAAGCAAATTCGGCTGCACAGAATTTAGTCTACATTTGGTGTACAGTATATCAAACTTGTTTGTATTGATATAGGGTATGTAATTGTGGAGCAAAGTCTTATCATTCATATGAAATTCCCTGGCGCTTCACTAGTCAAATATAGCAACCGGCAATAGGCGTACGCTCTTCTTCCGACACAATCACTTTCTGATGTGCTGGTGGGGGGTTTCTGAGGCACTCGCATCTTCGTTTGTACATGACTGCCCTGTGGGTACCGCAATGCCTGGGTTCGGGGCTTGATGCTCAGGCATTCGTAGTCCTTCACACGGATCGTGTTGTACACGTTCACATGGGTTGCCCTCTCCAAGGATCCTCGTCTTCTATTCCAGGACGCTCATATGCGTGAGATACCGGCTGTCTATGCGTCTTCTCCGACTTAGCGATGTTGAATGGGCTTGAAGAAGATCTGTTACCGTTGGACTGGGATGCAAGAAGCTTTTCTGAGTAACCAAACCCCATTGCGACCCTGCTTGAGTCTCTGGCTTGGTTTTCTCTCCAAATGAGTGTCGACCCCAAATTTCACACTTACACCACTGTATGTGCTTTCATCGGGAACGCTGTATCTGAATTTGGAGAAGTGGTTGCGTGCCTCGCACAGCCTGATCCTCATGATGTGTCCTTCCATTTGAATGTCAGGCGCCACACCCGAAATTGGGGTCCAATGGCTATTCTCTCTCATAAGCTCTTGTAATTTCTCTGTGCTTTGAGCTAGGCGGGCCAGTCCTTGCCCATAACATGGGCGCTTATTCCGTTGTGGATGACTTCCTGGACCTCGGTGGAGGGCGGAGAGGAAGTCGGTGTTGGGGAATTTGGAAATGGGAAAATATGCGAGAACGACATATGCACGACGATTAATTTTTCGCCGAACATCTGACACAATGTTGCAGGAATGTTCTGGTTGACTGTGTGCCCGGTGAACGCCCATATTCAAAAGTGATTGACTGGTGCCTGCCCTTGATCTATCACTGCTATTCTCGGCATAGTACTATGGACGACGACTCTTTTGAGCACGGTGTTCTCACTTCTCCTATGGGCGCTTTGCGCTACTTTGCTGCTGACACGCGTGACAAGGATCCCGGTTCTCCGCACGGCCGACTAATAAACCGAAAATGTTTCATTGTTCTCCGGTTGCACCACATAAATCTAAGAATCATTCGGTCAACCCTGTCCGTAGTGATGTTCAATATCTGCAGTTGCCTGCCTCTACTCGGCAACCTATCTTCGGGCTTAATCTGGATCTTGTCATAGCACTATCCATCGAATTCAGAACGCAATGAACTGACACTTCCAAATCGAGCTTGGTCCTCACGATTAACCCCCAGAATTCCCAGCGTGTTGGTCTCTTCTGCATCAATTATGAATATTCTACGCGACCTTCTTTCTGGGTTTTGCTATCTATGGGATTGGATATTCCACACAACGCAACGAAGCCCGGCATTCTTTTCGCACATCCTTCCAAACTAGTGCTCTTTGGGTTCGACGGACCGGCAGAAGGCATCAAATAGATATGTTAACCATACAGGGGCTCCTAACTCTGACTATGGGGTCACGTGACCCATCCTTAGCGCCCAGTTCTACACCTCACATCAGCAAGTGTCATTTTTCTATTTTTGCCACGGGTAAGGATAAAATTGATGGTCATGCTCTCCTGTCTCATTCTAGCCCTCGTTTTTCCAGTAATACGAGGCCTGTAATGTGGGTAGGAACTATCTCTGGACGAAGTCTTTCTGGTCCGATACGGAAAGTCCGCACCGGCTGCAGACTTCATTATCTCTTTGATGAACAACAAGCCGAACACTTATAGTGAATTGCAGTCGGCGAGGGATTAGGTCGATCTGTGCGGGTGTTTAGGTCGTAAGAAATGAGGCACGGAGGGGATGGACAACCTTACCTGCAGTTCGAATATCCAGCAGCGTATGGAAAGGGTGATTGTTGGACTCGGTGGCGTTCCGATTCCGCGCGTACTCGCTGAATGGCCACAAAATTGTAGACGTTGGCTGAGCGTTGGTGGGTCAGAGAACGTGGTCCTGCCTGCTAATTCGACTGACACGCGACTCACAGATGTTATATCTGTAGGAGACAATGGCCTTCCCTCCATGCCCTCCGACTCCCCTGCCTGTTCCTTTCCCAGTCCCCCCATTTCCAGTCCCTGGGAGGAACACACATCAACGAGCATGATGGTAAGAAATTAGATGATACTCGCTAATGTAGATGGAATGCTTGGGAATCGCCATCGCAGGTGAAGGGATGTGAGCCTGCCTTCATCTTCTGGGGAGAGTTATAAAGAAACTAGACAAGAAGGGAGGTGGTTATGGTTTACGTAACATATCAGGAGCATGCTAGGTTGGGTGGCAACGGGCGGAGTGCCTCATACAAGTGGAGTGCCCATCCTGTCAAGCGGAGTGCCATCCTGTCAAGCGGAGTGCCCATCCTGTCAAGCGGAGTACCCATCTTGTCTCGACTGGTGTGAGATATCGGGAAGCAATTGTTTCGCCGATCTTGGTGCGTGAGGGCGGGTGGGGTTATCCATTCCTTTCCCGACTAAACCAGTAGACAAAATGAAGGGAGGCTGGATTGGGGAAGAAGGCGCCTAGAGCACCCCCTGCGCAAATGTCCCAGACGGCGAGAAGAAAACTGGCTGTTTCTGACTCGACTACCTCACCACTCACTAGCCCTCCTCTGCATTGTGTTTGGGCCAAGAGGAATATAACCATTAATAACAATATTAATGGCCGAATTCGAGAGGCTATTATCCATTCACTCTGTAGATATCAGCACAAGGCCATTTCACTAGTGATTAAAAAAGCAGTTTGACGCCAAACTGATAATACTGGGTCCCGCCCCGCTGGAGGATGGCTTTAGTATTTGTGGGAATCTCCAATAATTCCCCTTAGACTGTTTTTGGCCTTCCATTTCAAAGCCACACGTATGGTTCTTTTTCTTACAGTAAAGTTAAGGGTAACACTGGAATGCTACATGCTGCGTTGCGGTTTTTTTTTATGGAAGGAGCGCTGTTGGAAATCGCAAGTGGAGCGCTGTCGAAACAAATATGTCCAATTACTTTATACGTGAGTCATGTGAGGATGTCATGCTGAGCATAGTGGGTGTGTGTAAGTGTGAATCTGTGTTTTGGGGGGCGATGGGAACGTTAACGAGGTTACGACTGCATCGCATGCAATGGGAGACTGACCGGACGCTTCGATTTGTCCAGTGCTCGTCAGTCTCCTCCTACCCTAGCATGTTATTATATTACAGTATTTGGGGAGGTGTAATTTCAGTCCGTCGACAGACAGAAACAGGGAATAGGGTAGAAAGCGTGAGCTTACCTTGCTAACGTGGACCTTCTACCTGGCGATGCAAGAGGATCAGCACGTAAGCCGCCAAAGATGGGAACACTGTCCTCGCAGGAGGGGCTGAGATAAAGGGGACAGTATCACACTGCTTCTCGTGATATAAGCAGAATACTTCTGTTCTAAGTGGTGGCGGCCGGTGCCGTCGATTTCTGCTCTGGAGGGCCAATAGGAGAGGCGCATAAAAGAGGTCGGATCCGGAGTCGAACCGGAGTTAATTGGAATCTGGGCCCTGGGTGAACCTTTTCAAAACCAACTGTGATAACCACTACACTATCCAACCACTGCACCTTCAGCAATCTGTCGGTGCATTGATAATTCCGCTCGAATACGGGCCGGCGACGATCGAAGGGTGCCTTCAACCTCCACCTTGACAGAGGGATGTGAATTGAGATGCCTTCTTGATGGTAGGGGCTGACACCCAAAACAAGGTTATGGCATTTTCCGTACAAGGCAACCTTCGCTCAAATCATCATGGCGCTTGCAAACCGAGATACGGCCCCCAGACTTGTTTGCCTGGGCAAGCCAGTCACTGAGCGGCTGGCTTGCAGCCGGACTTTCATCGTGCATTTAAGTACCAAATAGCAGGGCGCGGAACAAAGGCCGCAAGAATCAAGTCAACCCTTCAGGTTAGAGGCCTTGGCTTGTCTCAATCTATCAAAGGCCGGCCTCTTTTATCAAACCGAGAAATATTCCAACACCACCACAACGCAGTCTCCTTTGGAACCCATTCTCGAACGATGGGGAAAACACCTTTGGACGGGCTCAGTCGCGCTGAGGTCCAGAACATAGCTAAAGTTAGAAACCTGATTTTCCGTCTTATCTGTGGTATTCATTTGGTGGAGCACCGTCTAGGAACGCGGTCTGGACATAGCCGGTAAAGCTCTGCACAAGCTTAGGAATAGTATTCACCAGGATGATCGCCGGCGTGCCAGGGCTGAGCGAAAAGCCTCATATCTCCGAGAACTTCACGAGGTCATTTCTGCCATCAAAGCAGCCCAGAGCCCCTTTGTATCTGTAGGTAGTCTTCCCTTGGACCCCTCCTCTCCCATCGCAATCCTCGTCGGCTCTGGACCGATTTCAGACGCCTCCACGACGTACACTCCCGTTCACTTCCCCCTCAAGAATGAAGCTGCCCTACAGCCGCTTCTTGATGCCTCCAAGAAAGCCTCATTTGGATACGGTGGCCAGGATATTTTTGATCCTACCTACCGTCGCGCCCTAGTTCTCCATTCTGACCGCTTTACGTTCGCGCCTGCTGGTTCGCTCGATCCCCACGCTCTGGGGATCGTGGACTGCATTCGTGAGACGCTGTTCCCTTCTGCAGAAGAGGGCGGCACCTCCCGTAGGATCGTTGCTGTTCTGGACAAGCTGAACGTCTATACGAAAGGAGATTTTTTCAAAGGCCACGTCGACACGCCCAAGTCGGCCGATATGTTCGGCACCCTGCTGATTAACCTTCCCTTCTCACATGAGGGAGGCCAACTTATCATCCGCCCACCTGAAAATTCAGCTGAAAAGGCAAGTGCACAGACGACCCTGGGAAGGACGGAGACGTAAGTGGCGATCACGCATATATGACCAACTGGGGAAAGAATACTGGCCTCGAATGGGTCGCATTCTTCTCTGATTGCGAACATGAAGTTCTCCCCGTCACGCACGGGAAACGGCAAGTCCTTGCTTCGGGATAATTGATAATACTCATCGATGCGCTTGGCTGTGGGTAGTGTGACTCTGTCATATACTCTCTCCTTTGAAGGACCAGCGGTCAAACACGGCCCTGTGGACGTTGAAGCCCTTGCTGGTTCGAGAGATCTCGCAAGGGAGAAGCTCGTTAATGCTCTCAAGGCACCCGGGGTTCTGAGGAAAGGTCGCAGCTTATGTTTTTATCTGCAGCATAAATACGTGCGTGCAGACATTCACAGTATATATTTACCCTGTTCGATCTGCCTAATCTTTCCCAGCCCCTGGACCCTGGAAACACTCCCGTATCGTCAGTTGTTGATCAGGCATGTCCTCGCACTCTTTGCAATCCTGTGCTATTTCCTGATGCTGAACGACCCAAAGCTCAAGGGACGAGATGCCGTCATATACCACGCACTCCAAGATGCCGGCGCAAGTCCCACCCTACACCTCGTCATGTTCTCCCCCGACAAGCCACTTGCTGCTGATGACCTGAATGAGGGTGAGGATGAGAACGAGAATGACGATGACGACGGCGACGACGACGACGGCGATTCCGATGTCGACATAAAACAAAGGAACGATTCGGGATTTGGACTCTTCACCATTATCTACCCCTATGGGATGACCGCAGATGATGGTAGGGAATTGGATACTGAGCCTTCGGTTCTCCGCTGGTTCGAGGGGCGCAGACCCAAGGACTTGGAGGGTCTTGTGGAAGTCACGGACCGCTCCCTGGAACATTATCTCAAGCACTCGTTCCTGGCCTACGGTAATCAGCCGTCTCTGGGGGCAAACTATGGGTCTATTTGCGTCATTGCTAATGTGCCTGGCGAGGACGTAAATGCTCCATGGGGTCCCCTCGTCAAGCCCGTTCGGCGGGGTGACTTTTGATCGCAGGACTCTTGCAGAAGCACTCTTTTTATTCGTGCGTGATCAGTAGGAAGTATGTAAATATTATGGATACTGTATATTAGTGTTGTACAAGAGTACAGAGATGTTCGAAAAGAAACTAAATGGTAGGTTCAGGCTGACGTCTGGAGAGTGTGCAGGTTGCAATGGCGAGTACGAGGGTCTATTACGCGGCTCGAGTCCGTGGCCACGGTGAGAACCAGACCGAAGCGAGGAAGAAGTGGAGAATGATAGGTATGATAATGGCTATAGATATGTGAGCAAACAGGCAGCTGTCTATGCAAAGTATTCTTAGTGCTATCGCAGTTTCCCCTCACAGGCCCAAACTAGTCCGTGTGCTGGTGAACGGGAGGACCCCTGCGAGCTCTGTTATATCCCAGATCCACGGTTCCCGGATTTCGAGGGCGATTTTGAGTTTTTCCTAGAGGCAGATTCCCGGATCCGGGCCAGAAATCTGGTGTCAACCGAGGGGAAAATTCCCGGATTGGGCCCACAGGAGGAGAGGTACCTAGATCCAAAGTCCCCTCCCATGGGTGTTGTTTGGTAGGTCAAGGGTTAGAACTCACCCAGGGGGTTTTGTTTTCAGCAGGGTATGTGTTTGAATCCTATTGGGCCTTCCTTTGACAGTGATTGCCCACACTGTGCAGTTTCATTAATTGCAGCCACTTTCTGAACTTTTCACCATCTGTATCACCCATGGCAGACAGTGGCTTCAGCAGCCCAGAGGCCAAATCCAAGTATGTCGGGTCTTGCCACCATTCATTAACTTGAATAATCTGGCCATGGGCCTGAAGCCAGCAATGAAAAAGGGAGCTACCTGGTTCACTACTCTGAACATGCCACAGTCCTCTGCGTTGTCAAGGAGCGGAATAAGAAGGCCAGGAAAGCAGGGGAATGAATTTTAAAAGGGGACAGAGGTGTGGGGCCAAGTATACATGCCCAAAGCAACTCGGGCGACATTTTGAGAGCTTGGGGGAGGTCGGGGGGTTTTTTGTGATTTTTTTGTGATTTTTTTGAACCTAGAGCCGAATTCCCGGTTTTTTGTGGCCTTAAGAGCAACCTAGAGGCGATTTTCCCGGATTTGACATGGGATTTTGGCCCGAAAGTGTACCGGGAGTCAGGGTCCTTTTGGCCGCCGCTGGATCTGGGATATAACAGAGCTCGCAGGGGTCCTTGAACGGGCCACCCGGTGTGCCAATAATTAATCCATATCCATCGGCATTTATCGTGTTGAACGATCGCGTTCGATCTCTATTGCCATTGTTTGCCTCCTTCCACGCTCCCAAACCAAGCCATATAGGTGTTCGACTTGGGAACTATCCCAAGACTCCCATTGCCCTGAGACCGGAATTACAATCTGTAATCTACTGGCTCGGGGCATCCACAGTTGACGCCCGGAGCGGCGGAGCTAAGACTGTTGATGATGGAGTCCTCACGCTACTCCGTTTTTGATCCATGCTCAGAACCAAGGACAGAGCCTTCTGCCGGTCCTCTGCTCCCAAGCTACCGTTGTTGGCAACCGTCAGTGCAGCTGCTCGTATCGCCGCACTCTCTTTAAGCTTCCACGATTTTGGCGCGAGTCGGTCATACGCTCCTCCTCTAACTTCTCTTGTGAATCGGATGTATCCAGGAAGACTGGGAATTTGGACGGATAGAGGGATAGGAGGGTGGTCAACGATAGCGGGTAGGTCAGGCAAAGGTTCCTGATCAATTTGGGTGCTCGGTGTCGAAGCCCCTTCTGGGATGGTGAGGGGTGGATCGTATGCAAGCTCCATTACGGCAGGGGGTAATCTTCCTAGATGTAGACCGAAGGCGGTACGAGCCTTCGTAATGGCGATTTCCTGTTCCCGGGTGGACGGGGTCGGTTTGGACGTGAATGCACGAATTTCGCATACAGGCTTTGGGCGATGGGAATATGATAATTCAAGAGGGAGGCGTGAAGGTGTGGGACGCAGGAGGCGTTTAAGGTTGCGAGGGTAATCGTCAGGGTCTAGGAAAGGCGAAAGATCCACATCCGAAAGTCCCAGGTATTCCTCCACAAAGTCAGCGATTTCTTGGACTTGGGTTTCATACTCCGCGGCAAGCTCCTTGGCGCGAGCTAGACCCAACGACGAAATCTCTTTCTTGGTAAAGTATGTCCGTTCGTCTACCATTTCTGGCTCCATGTCGTCCATCTCATCCAGATCAAGTTCGTCCTCTTCCTCATTCTCAGCCTTGGCCACCACTTTCGTCTCTTTCGGTTCTGGTTGCGAAACACGTACAGGTGATGGCCGATTTTCTGGGGTCTATTGGAGGGACGTTGTCTCTGGGGTGCGGGTGGAATTTTGTACACTGCAGGTGGTGGGGGTGCATTGCGAGGGGCATTGGCGACAATCGGACGAAAGGAAGGAAGAAGAGTCGGTATATATGTCTCCAGACCAGGCGCGATTGCTTCAAATCCAAGTGAGAGCTTTTACATCAACACAGATTACGATGGAGAACGAGACTCACGTGCAGCAGTTTTGGATGTGAGGTCTATTCCCTCGAAATTCGAAGAACGAGGGGCCCGAGCTCGAGCCTCAGCCCTTTGGATGGCTTCAGGGACCACTTTTCCAGCATTTTCCGGATACCCAGGGCTCCGTCGCGTCGCAAACGTGCGCACAGCCCTGCTCGCACCTTGTAACATTTATGTTCCCAGTTCGTCGGGCA